ATCCTAATTCCATCACAATTTTCTTTTTGTTAAACTTAGACTTGAGCCTCACAATTGGGCTTTTCCCATATTATCCTCACTAACTCCTCTTAATTATCCAATTTGCCCTTATTTCACTTATATTTATTTTAACTAATAATAATACTAATATCTCCATATTGTATACTATTAATTAAATAAATAATCCAAAAATCCATAATTTTCAATAATCCACAAAACCACCGAAAACCACCAAAATACGAATATTCTCAATTAAATAAATAAATGAAAATATTCCAATTAAATTTGGGGTGTTACAACAAGCATATTCCTGATGCTAGGAGAAGGAAGCTTGATGATAAGAGTGAACCTATGGTTTTGGTAGGATATCATAAGACTGGAGCATACAGGTTGTTCAATCCAATTAATAAGAAGATTGTGATGAGTCGAGATATTGTGATTAATGAAAATTCTTCCTGGGATTGAAATTCTAGTGATGCAATTGACAAGCCACTAATGAACTATGATTTTGACGAAGCGATTAATGATGTCGAAGTCGAAGATATTGTCGACATTCTAATTGAAGTAAAAGTTGTTACTGAAATACCTGAACCAGTCGAATTCGAAAAGGATATGGCTGGAACAAGCCAAAGAACTCAAAGAACTAGAGCTCATCCGTTAAGACTTCAAGACTATGAAGTGGTTGGTGATGATGAAGTCACAACAGATAGAGAACTAGTTCATTTTGCTTTACTTGTAGGTGCTGAACCAATAAACTATAGTGAAGCCTTCAAAGATAAACAATAGACGTCTACTATGGTTTAAGAGTTACAAGCAATTGAAAGAAACAGCAGATGGGAGTTGGTCGAATTGCCAACCAGCGCATACAAAAGCTATCGAAGTGAAGTGAGTATTCAAGTTAAAGCACAATGTTAATGGGTCGATAGCAAGACATAAGGCGATATTGGTAGCTTGAGAATTTCTTCAGAGAGCAGGACTCAACTTCTCTGAAGTATTTTCACATGTCATAAGATTGGAAACTGTTCGACTAGCCGTAGCCTTGGCATGCAATCAGGGCTGGTCAACATTTCACTTCGATGTAAAATCGTCATTTTTGAATGGACCTTTAGATGAGGAGGTGTATGTCACATAACCTTCTGGGTTTATGGTTCAGGAGGAAGCAAATAAAGTGTACAAGTTGCACAAAGTGCTTTATGGTCTCAAGCCGACACCTAGGGCATGGAACAAGATGATCGACTCATACTTGGTCGAATTATGATTCATCAAATACAAATTTGAGCATGGGGTCTATGTTCAGGTTGTGGCACAAGATATAACAATGGTTTATTTATATGTTGATGACTTGTTAGTAACTGGAAGTAGCTTTGAGAACTTGTAAAATTTCAAAGAGCTGATGAAAAAGGAATTTGAAATGTCGGATCTGGGAAAGTTGTAGTACTTCCTAGGCATGGAATTTCAAATGTTGAAGTAAGGTATGGTGCTACATCAAATAAAGTATGTCAAATAGATACTCAAGAGATTCAAAATGGTTGATTAGACTCCTGCATCTTCACCTATTGACCAAACTTAAAGCTGGCGAAGCATGGAGAGGAAGACAAAGTCGATGCAACTTTGTTCAAACAAAATGTCAGATCTCTAAGACATGTGTGCAACAAATAACCTAATATATATTTATTAGTCATATTAGTGAGCATATATTTGAGTGAACCAATGGTGCCACACATGAAGGATGCAAGAAGAATCCTGAGATACTTAAAAGGATAGACAAAGTATGGTATTTTATTTCGACGACTCTGAAAGCAAAGAAGTTACGGTTACTTTTTATTCAGATGCTGATTGGTGTGGAGATAAGGAAGATAGAAGAAGCACGACTAGATATTTATTTCAAGTATTTGGTGCCTCAATCTCATGGTGTTCGAGAAAGCAACCTATGGTGGCATTGTCATCATATGAGGCTGAATATATACCAGGATCTTATGCTGCGTGTCAAGGAATTTGGATCAGATCTGTGTTGGAAGAGATCAAGGTCGAAGTGAAGAAACCTCTGGTACTGCAGATCGACAACAAGTCATCCATAAATCTGACGAAGAATCCAGTTTTGCATGGAAGAAGTAAGTACATTGAAGCTAGCTTTCACTTCTTAAGGAAGAAGGTGAATAGAGGTGAACTTGAAGTAAGGCATTGCTCAAGTGAAGCACAATTGGCCGACATTTTCACTAAAAGATTGAAGATCGACAGGTTCCTAACGTTGATAAAAAATTGGGAACATTTCAAACCGACAATGATTAGTGTGTAACAAAATTGAGAATAGTTCAGATCGACAATAATTAGTGTGTTTTGACAACTTGGACTATAGGAGGGTATGTTGAGATATTAGATATAATCCAAGTTGAGTTGTGTGGCCCAAGCCTAAAGCTAATTTGGACTTAGGGTTTGTAACTTAGTTTGTTGTTTTATTTAGTAGTCAAGTCACTTAAGTGTATAGAAATAGACACTTCGTAATTCAGTTTTATTATTCATTAATTTAATAATATCAATCCTTATTTCTTTATTCTCTCTCTCTTTCTCTCCTCACTAAAAGTGTCTCACGCACTAACAAATATGATTAAACTTCATTCTTAAGAGTTTTTAAGTAATTTAAGTGTTGTAACCGATTAACATGGATATGTAATTGGTTACAATTGTCAAAATAAGTCAATAAATGAAAGAAAAGTGATTCTATTATTGGTGTAATCGGTTATGCATTTGCAGTAACCGGTTATCACTATTAGTTAATTTCTGTTTTGTTTTAACTGTAGCTGGTTACATATTTTGTGTAACCGGATACAAGTCCGAGTTTTTGACATAACACTTTTTTTTTTATGAAAGTATGTTGATTGTCATAACACATTTTTTTTTATGAAAGTATGTTGATTGCTATAACACTTTTTTTTTTTTAATTTTATGTTTAACCACTTTATTTGAAGCAATTTTGAAAATTATCTGTCATAAAATAAAATCTCTAATCTCAAATCTCATAAGTAGAGAAAAATCTCTAATCTCAAATCTCATATGTAAAGAAACTTCAATCAAATCTATACATATATATTTTCTTAAGTGTCCGCTTTTCTCTTTTATGAATCAATAAAAAAAATTTACATGTGACTTTTTTTTACATATACTCCCACATTCTTAACAAAGTAAATAAAAAGAGGGTTGATAGCCATCATTAGTTATTGTGAATTTTAAAGGCTTTTTTATTAACTTGCACATGTATAGTTTGGTGTTTATATCTATTTTTAAAACTATTTTGAGTTTTCATTCATTTTCTATCTATTTATATCTCTTAGGAATGTGTTAGCTATCAATCAATTAAGTTTAGTTTAGTTAATTCCGTTTCTTTTTAAGTGTCATTTTTATAATAATTTTTTGTTTTTTTTAATTGTCACTTGCAAAGTTTAAAAAAATATTAATTACACCATTGTCAAAATTTCTCCCATATATTTATTTTAGAGAAAAAAAAAGTAAAATGAATATAATAAATAATTAAGAGTATTATAGATAGAAGGAAAATTATGATTTAAAAATAACAATATTGATTAGTTTTATTGATATGTGTAAACAATAACAAAATAACACTTAAAAAGAAACAGAGGAAGTAGAATGTAATTACTTAAATATTTTATTAAAAAATAAATAGCTAAGATTATTTCAATTGCTCTTAAATTTAGCCAACTACTTGAAAAATTACAATTCTTTCCACATATTTTAATGAGAAATTAAGAGGAAAAATTAATTATGTTGAATTAGGTTGAATTAGGTTTTATCAACTTTAAGTTTGATCTATTAAAAATATTAAAGTTTAAATCGGACTTGTAGTTTATCATAGTTAATTTTTAAGTTTAAATTCGACTTTTTCGAATGTAGATTGATCTGCTAACCTACTTAAAAGTCTATTTTATTTAAATGTTTAAATAAACAATTCGATTAATATTTATATAGACTAAGAGTTTTTAAGTAATTTAAGAGTTTTTAAGAGTCTTTAAGCAATTTAATTTAAAAGTCTATTTCATTCTTAAGAATTTTTAATTAATTTAAGTGTTGTAACTGTTTAATATGAGTATGTAATTGGTTACACTTGTCAAATTAAGTCAAATAAATGGAAGAAAAGTGATTCTAACGTTGGTGTAATCGGTTATGCATTTGTAGTAATCAGTTATCACTATTCATTAATTTCTATTTTGTTTTAACTGTAGCCGGTTACATGTTTTGTGTAACCAATTACAAGTTCGAGTTTTTGACTTTTTTTTGTTATCTAATTTATTATTTTGTATCACAATCATTTGTATCAATACCTTAAAAATATCATTGTTATGGTTAATAAAAAATAGCAAAAATATTCTCTTTTCTAATTTTTTTTCTTCTAATTTTTCTCTTTTCATAGTCTAATTTTTCCATTATTTAACAATCATGTGATTCCAAATTCTCATGAGTTCTAATGGTGCCGCATGAGTTTTTTATAGACAAAAAATATATTGCGTTTGTGAATAAATAAATAGATAATTTAATCCTCACATGCAATAAATCTAAAACAGTACCCCAATTGCTTCTTGCCTAATAAGCCAATTTAAATTCCACATATAACAACAAACTTTTGAAGCAGCGTCTGATTAAGGATAAACATGAAAGAAAGAAAAAATATATATAACCGATATCATATTAAAATTGAAACTAGTATTTTTCTCAAACAATCTTTTTTTATATAAATAGTTTCTTTTTAAAACCTTTTATAAATATGTCTTGTTAATATAATAAACCAATACAATCTTAAATCTAACAAAAACGATTAACTTTTTATATTGTATGAAATTAAAATTTAAGTGTAAGGATTATTTATTTATTTTATTCAAATAAATTGAAGGACCGCAATTGTGTGAAATAAATTGAAGGACTCTCTATCTAACCATTTTTAACAACAAAAAGAAAAAGCTTTGTATCTTCCTTCTCGTGCAACATTCAGTATGGACGACGACGCCAACCCCACGCAACCTCTCCTCACAACCATGACACCGCCATCCACCGCCGCGGTTTTTACCGCCGCAGCTCCTGACATGGATCCAATCACAAGCCCAAGAGATTTTTTCAAACAGTTCGTGTTGGAGTCAAAGATGCTGTGGTACCTCGCCGGACCAGCCATCTTCTCGTTTGTCTCCAAATACTCACTTGGCGCTGTTACTCAAATATTTGCTGGCCATGTTAGTACGGTCGATCTCGCCGCCGTGTCGGTGGAAAACTCCCTCATCGCTGGCTTTTCCTTCGGCTTGATGGTAAAGTATTCAACTATCACATAATTTACACTGCAATAGGTTGGTCATGCAAAAATATATTTGGTTGTTTTAATTTTTTTTTTTTAATTCCTACCATTGTAAAAATATTACTTCCTCCATATCAAAATAATCATCTCATTTAAAAAAATTATTTCTTTTAAAATATTTTTCACTTTACTTTATCAATGTAGTTTTTATTTTTATTTTTTTATTATTCTCTTTAAAAAATAATTTTAGTAAAATCATTATTATTTCTATCATTTATTATTTAATCTATGTGAAAGTAACAAATATGATATTTATTTTAGGATAAAGGGAAATATATTTTTTAAAAAATTTTGTAAATTTTTAAAAATTAATCTAATTAATAAATTTTTTATTTGATGATTAGGTTAATAAAGTTTTAGAGTTAATAATTATTAAATATAATAATTCATTTTAAAATTATTTGATGATTGGGTTAATAAAGTTTTAGAGTTAATAATCTGTACTAGTTATTGATGAACCCCACCAATAAAAGATAATCATCATTTATTGGGTTAGTACACTTTTCCAGATTCATATATAATCATCATCATAATCAATGATAGGGTTTTGTTTTACATTAATTAAAATATGAAAACAATACTAAAGATCTAATCTAGCAGAATATACAAATAAGATAGAGTATTGAAGCAAATACATAAAATGACCTGTGCTATTTTGACACCTTTTCTATACACCAGCGTAAATTATTAAAAAATAAAACCGGTATACATTGTATATATATTTAGTGTATATGTGTAGAAAGTAGTGTCAATATTGTTGGTGCAAAGGTGAATAAATGATGAACAGAGGAAAAATATTTTATTAAAGAGAATGACGGCTACACAACTCACTAAACATTACAATGATTGCAACCCTATTTATAAGCTAAAACTAAGATTACTAGAATAAGATAAAATACTAAAATATCCTCTAACAAACTTAGGGGCTAAGTAATAGTACAACTAAATATGAATTACTTCTAATACCATCCCTTAATTCATATTCCATCAAAACTTGTAACACCAATTCCATTCCTTAGTCTGAGAAATTGATCAGTCTTGATAGCTTTCGTCAGAGCATCTGCCAACTGTTTCTGAGTGCTGCAGTGTACAACTTCTAACACTCCACTCTGAACTTGATGTCTCAGAAAATGATACTTGGTCTCAATATGCTTGCTTCTCCCATGCAACACTGGGTTTCTGGCAAGATTGATTGCAGACTTGTTGTCAATCATCAACTTCAAAGGTTTGTTTATTTTAATCTTCAGATCCTGCAACAGATTCAGAATCCACACAGCTTGGCACGCAGTAACAGCACCTGCAATGTATTCAGCTTCGCAGGTTGATAACGCCACAACAGGTTGCTTCTTGGAACACCAAGAAATGGGACCTCCCAGAAATTTGAACAAGTACCCAGAGGTACTTCTTCTGTCAACTCTGTCTCCACACCAATCAGAATCTGAATAACTCAGAAGTTCTGACTCATTCTTTCTTCCAGAAGGAAATAACACTCCATACTTCAGAGTTCCCTTGATATACCTCAGAATCCTAACAACAGCTTGGTAATGGGACCACTTAGGTTTACTCTTGAACCTACTAATCATCCCAACAGAATAGCAAATATCAGGTCTGGTATTTCACAGATACCTCAGAGAACCAACCAACCGTTTGAAGGTTGTAGAGTCCACATCCTTTCCATCAGAGTCAGAATCCAGTTTCTGATTTGTATCAGAAGGTGTGACAACAATCTTACAATTCTTCAGTTCAAATCTCTTCAGAAGTTCTAATTCATACTTGAGCTGATGCAAAATGATACCTTTCTCAGAATATCTGAACTCCATCCCTAGAAAGTATGTCATTTTGCCTAGATCAGTCATTTCGAATTCATTCATCAGAACTTTCTTGAACTTGGCTATCTCCTGTCCAGAACTTCCAGTCAGTAGTATGTCATCAACATATAAACACACCAGAGTCATATTGCCTTCAGAAGTATGCTGAACATAAACACCGTACTCCATCTCACATTTCTGAAAGCCTTGCTTCTTGAAAAATGAATCAATCTTCTGATTCTAAGCTCTGGGCGCTTGTTTCAGTCCATATAGAGCTTTGTATAATCTGTACACCATCCCTTCCTGATTCTTTTTCACAAATCCAGGAGGTTGTGACACATAAACTTCTTCTTCTAATGTACCGTTCAGAAATGCAGATTTTACATCTAAATGCATCAGAGGCCAATTCCTGTTAGCAGCTATTGCAAGTGCAAACACTTCAGAATAATCCAGCCCAGGTTTCTGTAGAAATCCTCTGGCTACGAAATTTGCTTTATGTTTGCCAATTTAACCATCTGGCTTTAACTTCTGCTTGAAAACCCATCTGACGCTGATGGCTTTCTTGTCTTTTGGAAGTTCTGTCAGCTTCCAAGTCTTGTTTCTCTCTATAACATCAAGTTCTTCTTTCATGGCCTTCATCCAGAGCTTCTGCTTAAGAGCCTCTTCTGTACTTATGGGTTCAGAGTCTACTATCATGGCACACTGAATAACTTCTCCTTCAAAGTCTACTTCAGTGTCTTGCAGCATGTCAAATTCTGCATATCTTCTGGGGACGTTTCTTATTCTTTGTGGTCTCTGAACTTGTTCAGAGTCTTGAGCTTCAGAGTTTCTAGCTTCAGATGATTGACTTCCTCCAGAGCTTTGACCATCTTCAGAGTATGGCATATTTCCAGAGTCTGAATTGCCACCAGAATTTGGATTGCCATCAGAGTCTGGATCATCAGAGTCACCTTCATCTTCTGAGTCTTCTCCAGAGTCTGAATCACTATCATAGTCAGAGTCAACGTCAGAGTTTAATCCAACTTCAGAAATTCTTAACTCTGACCTTTCTTCAGAAGTTCTAACATCAGAATCAGATTGAGACTTATCCCAATTCCAAACTTCTGATTCCTTCACAATCACATCTCTGCTGAATTCAATTTTATTGGTTTCTGGACAATAGAGCTTGTATGCACCTGTACTGTGGTACCCTATCAGAATCATCACTTTGCTTCTATCATCCAGCTTCTGTCTTCTGTCTTCTGGAACATGTTTATAGCAAATAGAACCAAACACCTTTAGATGACTAACACTTTGCTTATCTCGAGTCCACTTCTATATTGGAACTATTTCCTTCAACTTCTTCGTAGGACATCGGTTGAGTACATACGTTGCAGTGGCAACGACTTCTCCCCAGAGCTTCTGAGGAAGCTTCTTCTCCTTTAGCATGCTTCTCACCATATCAAACAAAGTGCGGTTTCTTCTTTCAGCAAGACCATTGTGTTGAGGGGTATAAGGAGCAGTAACCTCATACTCAATTTCATTCTCCTCACAGAACTTATGGAACTCTTTGGAGTTGTACTCACCTCCACCGTCAGTTCTGAGAATCTTCAACTTCTGACCACTCTGATTCTCAGCCTTCATTCTGAACTTCTTGAATTCATCAAACACCTCGTGTTTAAACTTAATAAGGGATACCCATGTCATTCTTGTGAATTCATTAACAAACAACACAAAGTATTTATTCCCTCCAATCGATGTTACTGGAAATGGACCACACACATCAGAATGTACAACTCCCAAGGCATGTTTTGCTCTTGGAGCAACTTCTGACGCAAATGACAATCGTGGTTGTTTTCCTTCCATGCAAACTTTGCATGATTTTTCAGGCTTCTTAATTGCAGGAATTCCATGTACCAACTTCTTTGAATTCAGATGTTTTAAGCTTCTGAAATTCAAATGACTGAATCTTCTGTGCCACAGCTCACTCTCCTTCTCAGCACTTGTTGCACTAAGACATTCTGAGTCTGCAGTTCTGACATTCACCTTGAATGTTCTATTCCTTCCCTGTTCTGACTCCATAATCAACTTCTGATTGCAGTCATACAGCTTTAGAAGATTGTCCTTCATGGTAACTGAAAAACCTTTCTCAATTAATTGTCCCACACTCATCAGATTGCTTCTGATGCTAGGTACATACCACACGTTCTGAATCAATGCTGTTTTCCCATTGTTCAGAATCACTCTGACATTTCCCATACCTTCTGCGTTAAGATATTTGTCATCAACACATCTGATCTTTGTTCTCCTTTCAGAGTCAAAGTCAACCAGCCATTTCTTGTTTCCAGTAAGATGATTTGAACAACCAGTGTCCATATACCACCAGTCTATCAGATCCATATCATCAGATTCAGAGGCCATCAATAGCACAGATTCGTCATTAGAACTTCTAGCTATGTTTGCTTCTTCTGATTTTCTCTCCTTGTTTGACCAACAATCTCTAGCAAAGTGACCAAACTTCTTACAACAGTAACATTGGATTTTCTTCTTGTCATACTTCTCTTTTCCCTTCTGAGCATTCTTTTGTCTATCAGAGGTTGAGCTTTTTGACTTCTGACCACCATCATATCTTCTCCTGGCTTCTAACTGCTTCTGATACCTCCTATCAGAAGTTACTTTCAGAGCCTGCTCTCTACTTCCTTTTCAGAAGTTCTCTCAGTCAAACGCAACTCTTGCGCTTCTAGACTGCTCTGTAGCTCTTCAATTCTCATGGTGCTCAGATCTTTGGAATGTTCTATTGCTACCACAATGTAATCAAATTGAGAGGTAAGGGATCTCAATACTTTCTCCATGATTGCTTCTTCAAAAAGAGTTTCTCCACACGCCTTCATCTCATTAGTGATCAGAATCATTCTGGAGATGTATTCAGAGACTTTCTCATTATTCTTCATGTTGAGATTCTCATATTGTTTTCTCAAGGACTGAAGCTTCACCTTCTTCACTGATGCGTCACCACATAACATCTCACCAGTGTGTCCCACACACTACAAGAAACATTGCATTTTCCCAAGTGATTCCCACGTCACTAAGCTAAAAATCACTTCACTAGTCACAATTTGCGACGTGGGAGAAACACGTCGGAAATACAATGGTGGAAACTTTTTCCCAAGTGAAAAACACGTCACAAAGTTGTGACATACAAACCACGTCGCAAATGAGAAAAAAAAAAGAGAAAAAGTTCCCACGTGAAAACCAAGTCACTAATTAGTGACGTGAAAATCACATGGGAACCTACTTTTACCTATTTTGTCTACACGCTTTTCTGACACCATTTAATTATTTTCTCATGTGATTCCCACGTCACTAATTTGTGGCCTTGTTTTCACATGGGAACCCACACTGAATAAATATTTTTTCCCATGTGATTTTCACGTCACTAATTAGTGACATGGGATGCACTTCACTATAAAATTTAATAATAATAAAAAATAAATATTATTAACTGAAAACAGCTATAAAACTAAAATATATAATATATATTCATTATTTTTAAAAATATGTCTTTTTAAAATAATATATATTATGTTTACTAAAATATAATAACTATTCAATAACATAATAATATAATTGGTTTACTAAAAATAACACATTTAAAATATATATAATACATATATATTCATTATTTTTTAATAAAAATACTTTTAAAAAAAATAATACATTTAAAAATAGCACATTTTAAATATAATGCATATTCTTTATATTTTTTCTATTTACAATATTGTTTACTAAAACTATTTTTAAAATATCTACTACTTTTTCTAACATAATAAATATTCTGTTTTTAAAAATTAAAAATATATTACATATTTAGTTTGTTTCTAATAAATATTCTGTTTATATATATTATGTTTTTAATTCGAAATATATATATTCTAAAAATATAATATTCTACTACAAAGTTATTTTTATTAACTCTATCAAAATATATATTTAATCTGCTAACTAAAATTAAAAATACATATTGTCTAACAAAATTATTTTTATTAACTCTATCAAAATACATATTCTCTAACAAATTTATTTTTATTAACTCTACAAAATTAAAAATACATATTTAACTCTATCAAAACTATTTTTATTAACTCTACAAAATTATTTTTATTAACTCTATCAAAATACATATTTTTATTAACTCTATCTAAAAATATATATTCTACTACAAAATACATATTTAACAAAATAATATATCAACAACAACACAACAAAATAATATATCACCAAAATCTCAAAAATAAACAAATTGAAAATGCATAAATACCTTAATGTGCTAACTAGCTAGCTCTATCAAAGCTTCTTTGAACTTCTTAAATTTTAGATTTGGAAAAAAAAATCAACAATTAGTAATAACATAAACATAAAATAAACGGTAAAACATTCACAAAAACAAGATACATACCAGTCAACTTAAATTTTTTGAGAAATTTTAGTTAGAAATGGAGTTGTGAGGGAGGCAACAATGGTGAAGAAGAGAGAAATGGAGTTGTGAAGAAGAAACGAAGAAACAAATGAAGATGAAAAGGGATGCTGAAGGAAAATTTGGCTAATTAATATATAAGGAGATTTGCGACATGTTCAACACGTGGGAAGGTACCCACGTGGTTCCCACGTCAGAACAAACATGCTGACTCCCATTTGCGACGTGATAATAATGTGTGAAAGTTGCGACGTGATTCCCATGTGGGAAAGTTATTTATGGCTGTGGGTTGCAACGTGATCCCCATGTGGGAAAGTTGTCACATTTAATTCCTTCTACCAATGCGTCTGAAAAGTAAATGGAAAAGCAAAACATTTAATATTTGAAGTTTTGTGAAGTGAATTGTATGTGGGTAACTTGTGACCTATTATTCACGTGGGAATAAAATGATATTTTTGAATTTTCAGTTCCCATGTGTTATACACGCCACAAATGAATTTTTTAAAAATTCAAACTTCCCTCTCTCTTAAAATTCCAATTTTCTTAAAATTCCAATTTTTGATGGCAGATTTTAGGTCTGAATAATTTAATATTTAAATAAGTTAGTGACGTGGGAATCACTTGGCAACGTGTTTTTTTTCCCATGTGATTACCACGTCACTAAATCACTAGGGAAAATGAAGTTTTTCTTGTAGTGACAGCCTTTGCTGTCGTTGAATCTGCAATCTTCTCAAACACATTTACATCCACACATTGATGAAGGAAGAACAATGCTTTCTGATCCTTCTTCTTTACTTCCTTCTGCGCGTTTTTCTGTTCATCCGTCGCATCTGCTGCTACCGGAACATAACCATTAGTGACAAGATCTAGAACATCTTGAGCACCGAACAATACACGCATTTGGATCATCCAACAATTCCAGTTTTTACCGTCAAATACTGGAAGTTTGGTGTTCATGTTGTCATTTCCGTTCATCTTCTACCTTGCACAGTACACTCAGATTTCTCACACAGTGTTTCTCAACCCACAGAATTAAAATTATGATAAGATTTTGTTCAAGATTCAACAAAAATCTAAGAAACGAAATCAAACACACAAGACCTCACGTTCACTAGTGTTTCCCGTGTTTCCTAATGAATCCGAACCGGAGCTCTAGATACCAATTGTTGGTGCAAATGTGAATAAATGATGAACAGAGGAAAAATATTCTATTAAAGAGAATGACGGCTACACAACTCACTAAACATTACAATGATTGCAACTCTATTTATAAGCTAAAACTAGGATTAATAGAATAAGATAAAATACTAAAATACCCTCTAACAAATAAGTAATAGTACAACTAAATATGAATTACTTGTAATAAATATATCTTTTCCATAAAGTTATTCTATCCATTTTATAGTAAGTGTTATTTTTGTAATATTTTTTTACTTTTAATTATTGCATTTATGATACAATATTATTTATTATGTCTTTTATATATTTACTAAATTTCAGCTAATCTATTTATATACTAAATACTACTAATAAAAAGCATTTTAATGAATAATTCCCAATTTATAATTATATTTAACAAAATTAAAAATCTCAAATTATTTTAAAAATAAGATTAGCCGAAAATTTTTGTCCATCTTAGGTTTGCATAACGCGAAAATTTTCTCTGATTTATATTTAAAAAAAAGTGTTTTGGTAACAATAACATAAAATTCAATCTCAAATCCTCTTTTTTACTATTTGAATTTGAATTTGATCAGCTTGGAATGGGAAGCGCACTTGAAACTCTATGTGGACAAGCAGTAGGAGCAGGAAAACTGGACATGTTAGGAGTATACATGCAAAGATCATGGGTCATACTATTTTCCATGACATTTCCACTATGCTTCTTATACATCTTCGCAGGAACCATTCTAAAATTCATAGGACAAACAACACAAATCTCGGAGGCTGCCGGAACATTTGCTATATGGATGATTCCGCAATTATTTGCCTACGCCCTGAATTTTCCGGTGGCGAAATTCCTACAAGCGCAAAGTAAGGTGATTGTGATTGCGGTTATATCGGGGGTTGCTATGGTGTTGCATCCGGTGTTTAGTTGGCTGTTGATGGTGAAACTTGGGTGGGGATTGGTGGGTGCTGCGGTGGTTCTTAATGGATCTTGGTGGTTTATTGTGGTGGCTCAGTTGGGGTATGTGTTTAGTGGGAAATGTGGGGTGGCTTGGAATGGGTTTTCTTTTGAAGCGTTTGGGAATCTTTGGGGATTCTTTCGGCTTTCTGTGGCTTCTGCAGTGATGCTCTGGTCAGTTTACTCATCTTTTCATTATGTTATTCTTTTAAAATATTTATTTTCATCAGTTTAATATGGATAGTTGGATACAATACTAGGACAATATGACGTGAAATATCAAATAGTTTTAAATTTTTATAAAATTCGTTTAATTAATATATTTTTTAATTTAACAATTAAATAAATAAAATTTAATATTTATAATGAATTATAAAATAAAATAACTATATATAAATTTTCAAATTAAGCTCATATATAATTATGCATAGTTAAAAATAAGATAATGCTAATTTTTATTTTAAGCCACAAAAGCTAAATATAAAACACTCTTTCAAACAAAATGTATATTAAAACTCTTTTTAACTCAAATTTTGATTCTGTTTTTTAACATGTACTTTCAAATTACAAATTGGCACAAATTAAGATGATCTAAAAAATTACTCATTCTATTTTAAAATGCAGATTAAAAAATATAATAATATTATTATAAAATATTGCACTTTTACTAACTTAATCTTATTAATTTATTAAAAATAATATACAGAGTAATAATTAAATAATACAATTGAAATAATAACAATAACTATTATATTAAAAAGTAAAAATGACATTTATTTTAAAATAAAATTTTTATCCTAAAACGACATTAATTTTAAAACGGAGGCAGAGTAAATAATTAAAAGGGCTTAACCTAGGCACATGGAAAGTATGTATTCATCTTCCACTTTTCTTATTGTTGTTTGTGAATCATGTTTCCATCTTCCACTCTTTGACTGACTCAATAACTCTATTGACTTTTTATAATATGGTTTTTAGGGTTTGTATTGTTTGCTTAAGATTTTGTTTATCGAGTTCGAATATCCTTAATACTCTTTTTTAATATATGTTATTCTGTTTAATTATAAAAAAAAATTATTTATAATTACTAATAAATTAAAGGAAGACGTACATTGTGACTGTTTTAGGGAAAAAATATAAACAACGATCAATCACGTTGGAATAATTCAAGTGAATTTAAAAAAAACTAATTTCCACGTAATCTTGCAACTATATGTTAGTTCAACTTATTTTGCTTGAATAAATAATGTATAATAATAATAATATAGTTCTAATTAAGATTGACTTATCGCAATCACATATTTGAAAATATTTGCTATTTGGATGTAGCCATTTGTTTTGCTTAAATAAATAGTTGTTTATTTTTAAATGTTTTTTAAAGATAATTTTGACAAAAGTATTGTTTAGTTCTTTTAAGTTATTTTAAAATATTAAGTTAGTCTTTTAAATTTTTTTTACCATTTAGTAACGTGTGCGCCGTTGACATTTTTAAAAAATCTTCGTTTTAAAAAAGCCTATGTGGCACAAATGAAGCACATGTAATATTTAATAGAGAGATGTGTTATTTTATTTTATTTTATATTTATTTTTTAATTCAACGTAAATTTTTATTTTATTTTTTTAATTTTTTTAAACTTTATTTATTTATTTTTTAACTGGAAGGACCTGATTGTTGCATTTTTAAAACATATGAGACGTGAGTGTTACATTTAAAAAAAAAAATTTAACAGCATACCAAACATTAAACAATCTAAATATTAATGATTGATTACGGTATTTTTTTGATACAGGAAATGATTAAATTTCTTGTTGATATTTAGACTGATTTTTATAACAATAATAGTTTTGTTATGATTCATATGAAATAGAAGTGATTGTTGAAAAAAGTGATTAGTTTTTATTTTAAAAAATTGGGTGATTAGATGAAGAGTTGGATTAATAATTTTGCATAAAAGGTATAAACAAGTATTTTCATACTGATTTTAATATATTTGGTAATAAACATAATTATCTTTTATCCTTATTTGTTAGATTATGTATGTATTGGTTGATGCATGTATTAGTTTATAACATTATAACAATGTTTTTGACAATATTTAAATTATTTAATGTTTGTAATGATGTTAAAAAAATGTTTTTAAAATATAACACTCATGTCCCATATATTTTTAAAATGTAACAATCAGGTCCTTCCACTTAAAAATAAATAAATAAATAAATAGAAAATTAAAATTAAAATACACGTGGAATTAAAAAATAAATAAATAAATAAATAAAAAATTAAAATTAAAATACACGTGGAATTAAAAAATAAATAAATAATAAAATAAAATGATACTTTATCACTGTTAAATGTCACATGTGCTTCATTTGTGCCACATAGGTTTTTTTGAAACGAAGATTTTTAAAAAGGTTAACGATGCAAACATTACTTAACATAAATGACCAAAGTGTTACAAAAAATCTTAAAGAACTAACTTAATATTTTAAAATAACTTAAAGGACTTAGACAATATTTTTGCGGATAATTTTTTATTTATTTATAATTGTTATTTTTAAAGTTAAAGTTAGATATTTATTAGAGAAAAAAATGAAATGAATGTAATAAATGATTAAGATATTATAAATAAAAAGAGCATTAATGTTTAAAAAGTAATAATAATAATTAATTTTTTTAAAATGTATAAAAAATTAAAAAATAAAACTTAAAAAAGAATGAAAGTAGTAATGGATTACTATAATAAGAATTAGGATGGTGTAATCACAAATCTCAAAGTGTTTGCGATTTGGACCGAGCAATTTATTTTTCTTGAATAAATGATGTACTATTATAATAATAATAATAATAATAATAATAATAATAATAATAATAATAATAATAATAATAATAATAATAATAATAATAATAATAGCACAAACACGGGTCTCAAAAAAATGTTAGTGCAATCACAAATTCCAATATTTGTCAACATATAATTCGAGTTTAAAATTTATACTTTTATAAGTGGACACAGCAATAAAAAGTGATGATTATAATTTTATCGCAAATATATAATATTTAATATATTATTTTAATTTATAGTTTATTATATTTTTTCTATTTTTATTTTTATTATTTTAGTTAAAATTTATTTTTACATTATAAATTATTTTAATTTTTAATAAATCAATTATGTATTAAATGACAAAGAATATTAAACAATTATATTATTTTATATTTATTAAATTGATAATTTTATCAAACACTTTTTAAGTTAGTTTACAACTATTAATCATTAACTATCAACTATAATTTATTAATCATCAGCTATCAATCATAAGTTATAAATTATCGAATAGTTTATTTATCAATAATTATTTTTACCAAAATAAAGTAAATACATTTTTTTTTGCATTTGATTTCATTTTGTTTTTATTTAGTTATTAATTTTTTCTTATTTATTTTGTTAAATTTTTTATTAATAAATATTATAAATTATCAAAAGAAATAAAAGATTCATAAATAAGACAACAAGCAACAAGCTGCGTTGCTACCTATTTATGATGGCAAAATCAATTATTTAAAAAAATATATATATTCATTGTCCTAAAAGACACTATTTTTGTGCATGAAGTTTCACACTTTTTATAAAATATTCACTATTTTTAATACTAGAAAATAAAAAATAAAATATATAAAAACAGAACACTTTTTTTTTTTTTTTTTAATGTTTGATCACTTTATTTAATCGGTTTAAAAAATTTTCATGTGACTTTTTTTTTCTTCATATACTCCTGCGTTCTTAACAAAGTAAATAAAAAGAGGGTTGATAGCCATCATTAATTATTGTGAAATTTAAAGGCTTTTATATTAATTTTGCACATGTATAGTTAGGTGCTTTTATCTATTTTTAAAACTATTTTAAGTTTTCGCATTCATTTTCGATCTATTTATATCTCTTAGGTGTTGGCTATCAATCAATTAATGTTAGTTTGGTTATAGAATGTACTTACTTAAATATTTTATTAAAGAATAAATAGCTAAGATTATTTCAATTGCTCTTAAATTTGGCTAACTATTTGAAAAATTACAATTCTTTTCATATATTTTAATGGGAAATTAAAAGTGGAAATTAATTAAATTGAACTAGGCTTTGTCAAATTTAAGTCTGATCTACTAAAAATAATAAAATTTAAGTCTGACTTATAGTTTATCATAGTTGATTTTTAAATTTAAATTCAACTTTTTTGAATGTTAATTGATCTGTTAGTCTACTTAAAAGTCTATTTTATTTGAATATTTAAATAAGTAATTCAATTAATATTTATTGGGTTAAATATGTTTTTGGTCTCTATAAATATCTCACATTTTATTTTTAGTCCTTATAAAAAAAACATGTTTTGATCCCTACAAAAATTGTATGCATGCAACTTTAGTTTTTGATATTTTCTAAAATTTTGAAAGCTATTTAATTACCCTTAAAATTTTATATTTTTGAATAATTTTTTTCATATGTGTTCAGATTTCTATAAAATGTTTCTTTACCAAATTATATAATTTTTTAAAATGAGAAGAATTAAATATGAATTTTTTAAATTTCAAAAGATGATATCAGTAATAAAATTTTTGTCTTATAACTCAAATTTTGAATTCCTTTTTATTTGAGGAACATTTTATAGCGTTCTAAACATATTTGCAAAATAATCATTCAAAAGTACACATTTGTTTAACAGTAATAGCTAAGACTACGTGCATAATTATTTTGTAAGGACCAAAACACACTATATTTTTTATAGGGACCAAAAACAAAATTTAGTATTTTATAAGAACTAAAAATATATTTAACCCATATTTATATAGACTAAAAACTAAAAAATCAACGATACTAAGTTTTTTTTGCATTGACTTATGTGAAGTTATTTAGTAATATAAGTTTTGTGAGACTATCAATTTAGAAAAACTTATAAAAACAACTTATGATATTGTTATTAAGTTGTTTTCAATTTATTTTCATAAATTTTTTAAGATTATTTTTGTATTTTAATTTAAAATAAAATATACAATATAATGATAAAAATAAAATTATTTTAATTTATTAAAATAGTTTGATCTGATAAGTTTAAAAGACATTTCATATGATTTAAGATCTAGTTTTTATAATTAAATGAATTTATAAAAAACTTAAAATATTTTCTTTTTTAAGAAAAATTTAATTGAATATAAATTTATGTATGTTAGGTCGTAGCCTAACTACT